AGCAGTCCTGGTCTATAAGTAGTAGGTCTGGGATACTTTGATAATATAAATAAATACATACTAAGAACTGCAGAAAAGTCTCACTCAAGCAACATATTTTAAACAACTGTACAGCTTTTTCTCCTCACAATATGCTCTCCCAAAATATTGGCACTGAAAACTGCTCGATTTCATATTTAAACCCGAACCAGACCTCATTTCTGTTCTCCCGTAACTCTAGCCCCGTGAAATTTCAGCCAGAGCTTTCCTTAGTACGCTTGCTCCAACCTGTCTCCAAAAAACGTAGCTGAAAGCGCACTGAAATTTACCCATTGCAAGACTTTTTAAGAGAATGCCACTGACGCCGTAAGCGCTGAGAGCATTCTGAGGGCATGAACATTCAGACTCAAACTCTGCCGGCAGAGTGAAGACTTCTTTTTTGATTCTTGCTACATTTTGGATTCAACATTTACCTTCAATGCCTGAAGACGTTAAAATACATTTTTTATAGGGGAATATGCAGCTACAAATTCTCTAGATCTGCTAGCATTTTAAAAAAGATCCACTGGACCTAAGCCTACCAGTTTGCTCCTGGTCTAAACCATCACTGGAAGATTTTTCAGATTAAGCTCTACAGCACCAGAAAATCCATGTGCAAAAAACCCCCAGAAAGCACAAAAGATGTCTGTTTCGATATGAACAGAAGGTCCGCAAATTAGTTCAATGTGCCTAATAACTTTCAAAATTGTTTAAAGGCGGAGTTTAAATAAGCAGCCAAGTTGTCAGCAGATGCTCCGGGATGCTTGGTGCTCAACCCTGCTGAAAATCTGTCTGTCCATTCAGATGCTGAAATACAGATGTAGGCATCCACTGTATTAATGAACCATTTTTGGAAGAAAAAATGAATCCAACATTTGCTTATATTAGACTAGAAACTGAAAAAAAATTGTGGTGGAATTTTTGTTTTCTGCTTTTTTTTCCCTCTTTTTTTTTTTTTTTTCCTCCATTCAGGTTGCCTTTTTTTCTTAAGATGAAGAGGATTCACTTTCATTCTTTTTCTGCAAGGGTACATTTATTATTGAATAAGCACCATCATGTGCTCGGTGTGATTAAAAAAAGAAATGTAGGCCTTGCACTCAGGTAGCTCACAAGAGGCAAGAAAACCCCCAAGAGATGTCATGAGGGATAGCACTTGCTTCTACCACCTTTTAAAGGCATAAAAGCATCTTCTTTCCTACTTCTGTTGTGCTCTGTAGTTATGGACGACGTTTCTCCAGCACAGGCAAAAGAAGAACACTTTATTACATTTTTAATGTATAATCCTGGAGAAATACTTGTTTAATATGTGTGTCCGCGTGTATTTGTGTGTGTAATGCTTACAATATACATATGTTTTCAAAGGGATGTGTTACAAACTTGTGGTTTCAGAAAAACTGCATTAATAGCTCACTTTCCAATATTGGCATAGGAAAGGAACTTTTCCAGAAGATGTGTTTGGAACAACGTCACTATTTTGTATTAAAGATGAAACCAGTGGCGTCCTACCATATGTATCAAATGTGAAGTAGCTGAATGCCCATTTTCAGATGCTCGTAGCTACTGTTACAGAAAATTGAATTCAGCTGCATCCTTGAAAAAGCTTTTGAAATGCCTTTACAAACATAGAAAAAGACTTAATCTATCATAATATTCATCTCATGTTCCAAATACTTATATTTTGAAAACCTCAACACAACAGAAATTATATAAAGAATTCTTATTTGACATATTAAAGACACAACGTTTTAAATTTCATTACTGCTTTCTTGACTGTGTGTCACAATTCTGTAAAGATCAGGTTCTCGTGCTGAATCGGGAACGTCTTCACTGGGATGAATCTATTGTCTCCCTGCTGAGTTTGGTGGTTTCAGTTTGTAGCCTCTAAAAAGTAGGAAGTTCTGCTTAAAAAATCGCAAACAAAAAAAGCCGGCACCGCAATCTCTGCGGAAAAGAGCTCTCTCAACACAAGTAAGGATCGCACAGATTTTCCATCCGAGGCTCGGAGGGGGCTCTGAAGATGCGAAAGGAAGCTGGTAGCACATTGCAACCGCCTGTCAGAAGAGCCCACACCCGTTCTTCGACTACCCAAACTGCACCCCTTGGTTAAATATTTGTCTTCGGATAAAGAGAAGAAGGGACTGAAGGATGTTTTGTACGCGGGTGCTTGACAGTCACAGAGTGGTTATGGAAAAGTCACAGAAAATCACCACGTAAACACTTCTCCTGCTTCCCAAGTCAAAATTGCTTGTGGTGCAATAAATGAAATCTATACTGTATCATCTACTACATACCTACATACTAGCAGGTAGCACGTACCTAGCATTATTTCACTTATCAGTTTACTGGATAAGCCAAGTCACTGTCATATGTTGTTGTAACTGATACGACATTTTGGAAGAAAAGAAAAGAAATTTTGCTCCATGTTTTTGCCTTACGCTGTGTGTCTGTATACTCTAACACTTATTTTACAAAGCACGTTTAGTCACTCAGAAAAAAAAAAAAAAGTCCAGATTTGCAGAAGGAGTTCCCTTTATTATCAAAATATTTGTCAGCTTTAATATTAACCTACCGAAGTTTTTGAAACTGAAGTCTTATAAATGCATAGGACACATATACACATATACATATGTGGAATACACACGCTACTATTAACAATTTTCAGTTAGTACATTAACTAGAAATCGACTGTGAATTTCATGATATTTTCTCCCCTGTATGTTAAGTCAATGACCTATTTAAGTGTGTTGGCAGCAATTTATATGTCTTGTGCCTGTATATTTCACAAAACCTTGTGTTTTGTGTTATTTACATTAAAAAGACGTACTCTGTAAAACTTCACCTTTGTTAAAAATCACTTTATCCTAAGTATTTAAATTATTTCATGCTTTCAAAAGGCACAATTAAGTATCTAATGAGAACTTCCATTCAATGTTACACATAATACAAAAAAGAGAAAAAGTGTTTGAGACATCAATGATAATATTTTAAATATATTGGCATAGGAAAGTAGATGTCTTTTTGCTTTATTAAACTGACAGTTCAGTTCTGAAACTTTATTTTGAAAAGATTTAAAAAGGATTTGTGTCTTTAGAAATAAAAAATATAACAGGCATATCTAAAAAATATAGAAGAGAAAACCTGATTGTTACTACTAATGAAATAGCTGATGACAAAATAGTAGTCTTTTTGATTTTGATCACAAAAAATAAACTGGTAGTGACAGGATATGATGGATAGATTTGACATCCTGGCAAATCACTGTCATTGATTCAATTATTCTAATTCAGAATAAAAGCTGTATACAGTATGTGTTTATGCTACAGTGGAGTTTTTTAAGTGATTGACATTCATCATATTAGTTAGACAGTTTTAAAAGCTATGTCTTTGTTTTACACAGCGTTGTCAAGAAAAAAATAAAGTAGAACCTGGATTGCAGAAAGAAAAAAAAAAAAAAGCAAACCACTTAACCAACTCTTGGTTCCTTCCAAACCCATCAAAATACGTTACCATTACTGCATCCCATTAACACGTTCTTTGAAGAGTCACTTTCACTCCAGCCATGTAATACACTATCACAAAGACTAAATTTTGAAACTGTAATGCAATCTTACAGCTGGCTGGCTCGGAAGTTCTGCGGAGAAGATGATATTACCTTTCAAAATGGAAGTCAGCCTCAGAAGAAAGCAGGCAAACCACTTTAATTTACAGGTCAGCTTTGCTTTACCGTTCTTTTGTTTGATGAGATATACACACAGATACGTACAAACCAGTTAGAAGTTCACAAATTGTCTATCTGAGGGTATGGAAGCCTGAATGACTTGTATATTCTGCCCTGGTTTAGACCAGCACGCTGCGATACCCTTCCCCGAGCTCAAATGCACTCTTCTGGTTTTCTAGCATTAATGTAGCTGTCGGTTTGAATTTCAATCTTGAATTATGTCTGTTGACATAATTTCATAGTGCTGACTTCAATTGTCTAGGATTACTGTTTTGAACTACATAAGGAAATCAATTCTTTTCTCTATGGTTAGTAAATTCCATTCAAGTGCATTTTAATGCATGTAGTAAGCCATAAGGCAAAGTAATTATCTATAATAGATTCTGATTCAAAAAACAACCATTCTTAATTACTGGCACATTAGAATAAAAACGATCTTATACATTTTATATTTATTATTACATATTCAATAACCTAATGTAAATATTTCTTGAAATTTAAGAACGGTATTTCAATTACAAAAAATTAATGTTTTTAAAACAATAACTGCATAGTTTGCTTTCAGAATAACACGTAACAATGAATTGTTTAGTTTTATTCCTTTATTTCAATAAACTGTCCAACTTAACTTATGCTTCATACAAAATATTAAATGTAGGTATATAAAAATTCCAATGGGAAAAATATCCCTTTATTTTTATTGTAAAAAAAATCTAGAAATGAAAGGGTAAGAGTAATTTTCGTATTTTAAGGAAAGGAACAAAATACTGTATGTTTCCAGTCGAGCAGAACAATGGCAGGACCCAACATAACAGAAGCTTTAACAAAAAGCAAAATCCAAACAAGCCTGAAATTAGTACAAAGAAACCAGAAAAAAACAACAACCCAAAATCAGAACCCCCCCTCCCCCCAGAAATAAAAAAACCCACAGGAGAAAAAAAAAAAAGAGGCACCATACGATAACATGTATTTTTAAAGACTGCTGGGTCAAATCATTAAGAAAAATATTTATATAAGTCATTAACACTCATAATTAGAGTGTCATATAAATCTGAGTGAAACTGCTAAGTAGAAATCACTAGAAGTCCAGGTGCTTCTTGCCGATGGCCATAGCACCACATCCTGAGCTCAGCAGTTTGGCGGATTCTGCCAGATCCTGTTTGCTTGCGCGGCTCACTGTGTCTGACAAGTCTGGAGAAGAAAAATATTTATATAAGTCATTAACACTCATAATTAGAGTGTCATATAAATCTGAGTGAAACTGCTAAGTAGAAATCACTAGAAGTCCAGGTGCTTCTTGCCGATGGCCATAGCACCACATCCTGAGCTCAGCAGTTTGGCGGATTCTGCCAGATCCTGTTTGCTTGCGCGGCTCACTGTGTCTGACAAGTCTGGAGGCAAATGCAGTCGCTGTGGCAGGAGATTTTCAGGAGGGAGAGGGAGAGAGGCGGGGAGAGAGAGGGAAGAAAGCGAGAGAGGAAAAACCAGGGAGGAAAAAAAAATAAGTAATTGCAGTAGAATTTATTTTCCATAGCATATTGCAACATGCAGTCTTTTTCCTGACCGATCGATGTTTACTCGCACAAATAAAACACTTCCCAGACACTCTTTTAGGCTGACCTGGAAACAGTTTTGTATGTTTTCAATATATTGGATTCTCTAAATTGGAATAGATTTTTTCCTCATGAAAATTTTCTAAACAAAATCCAAATTTGCTCAAGGTATTTAATTATATCTATTGGCATTTTTCCTTACAAACAAGTGTTTTGCCCGTATGTCAACCCCCCCATCAAACCCTTTGATTGCTACGGCACAACGATATAAGCATAATTTTATTGCAAACACGCGTACTTTATGGCAGAGTCTGAAAATAAATGACGTGATGGTCAAAAGATGGAGAGGGCTCACCCTGGCTGCAGCGTTATCCTGCTAAAGTGTTTCTTCTTCATATTCTACCATCGTTTTATAATAAAACCAAGCAGTGATAGCAGTTGCACTTGTGTAAGGCAATCATATATGCTAATCAAACCCTGCCGTCCCTTGTGAGGTGTAGGAACGTTACATCCATTTTACAGATGAGGAAACTGAGACACAGGCTCCATGTTTGTCCACAAGCACACAGTCCTTGCATAATACACCTTATTTTTCAACTATGACAAAAATATTTCAATTTTCCCTCTGAGGATTCTTTTACATGGGAGATATACAAAAGGCATGAAATTACCATTTAGCTTTTGTAAAGTAAGGTGAAAATTAATGTAAAACTGAGGCTTTACTTGGTAAATTACTGGCTCGCTTTTGGACACAGGTACTGAAAGCCGGTCAGAGGAGACAGCTGAGCATCTTACACACAGTGCAATAATTTATGAAACTGGTATCATGGAAGGAGCATATTTCTTGAAAGATTTAGTAGGCAAACGCTAAACTGTGTGGCTCTTCTTTTCAAATGCATATGCTTCTGAAGGGAACAGGATGACAGTAATGGCTGCAAAGCCATCTTAGGAGGCTGCGTGGACTGTCCTCATTCTCTGATTTTGCTATGTTTTTGTTTGTATCACAACACATAAACACAGCTGCCCTTTATTCGATACTTTTGCAACTTTTGTAGGATCCTTTCTTCATGCGGCTAAGAATTCAATAACAACGCCTAAGGAATATCTATATGTACAGTGGGCTGACTGTTCAGTTCATTGCTGGCTTGGAGCTGGTGTAGTCAGGCATAACTGGAGAGGTGCTCCACAGTGCTTCCCTACCGCCGGCCACTCCTGCTTGTGGCAGCACAGGGAGAAGAACGAGGGCTGGGTTGCTGTCTTCTCCGAGGGAAGGAAACACAGAAAGTAACGCATGTGGAGTAGGAAAGCCTGCGCCCAGGGTGAGACGACTCACCTCGGTGTTGAAGTAGGAGAAATGCGTGGGTTTCTTTGTAGCACATTGCCTATGAAGCACAATTTATGTATCAAAACCTACGCCCTGTATATACCTTTTAGTAACTGTGGGGCTCTTACACCTCACCGTATTGAAATCAGAGCTGTGGTACGGTATCCTCCACTTCCAGTTCATCCCTTATTCCTAAGAAGGTTAAGCACGGCTGTGGATGTGAACTGCGGTCCACACCGCCTCATTTCTACATCAACACAACAGGAACCAGGGCGCGTGCCTATCTTGTTTGTCTGCTGAGGAAAAACATTTGCTAGGAGAGAGCCAACCTATGACTTGGATCGTAGAGGGGGGCTGTAACCACTGGAAAACGAAGGATGAGGAAAAGTCGGGAAGTGCAGGGGAGTGCTCGGCGGATCTGTCAGCCACCTTTTCTTTCCAAAAGAGTGTGCAGTGCTCTGCTAGCAGGGTACAGGGTATCTGCTATGTGGGAGGTGGAGAAACAAGTGAAATAATCCCACCTCCTCCCACTCGCTGTTAGCATCTCTGCGCTCACCGGGGAGCGGGAGAGGCAGCTTCCTCCAGGGGAAATGTAGTACCGCTGTCGTCCTCCTGCAATTACCGACCCTTGTGCCCAGTCTGCCAAATGGATTCCGAGCAAGGTGATGAAGAGCAAACAGAACCGGGACTCAGCAAATTCATCTTACGCAGGGACTAACTAATACCACAGATGTGGAACAACTGTAAACCCTGCCACACTGGCTTGGACTTAAAGTGTGGTCAAAAGAAAAAAAAATCTTTAATATTTACACAGCCTATTTGTCAATGCTGTGTTCGTTTGCTAATATGTATTATGACCAGAAAATAGATAGAAGAATATTTCTAAATTTGCAAAGATTCAGATAGGAAAAGTAAAAATTAAAGATCCTCAGATTGGATGGTGGGACTGAATTAGGCTTTCACAGATGTATTTGTTACGATACGTGCATATACTCTTCTTCCCCCCATCAGATTCAGTGAAGAGGATGCACACTGCTCATTTAGTGACTGGCTATTCAGTATTTTGTTTTCTTGTCACTGTTTACTCTGAACTTTTCTGACGTATTTATTGTACACTATTCAAACCTTATTCTGAAGACAGAATGGCTTTTCAATAGCACATGTCAGTATATAGCACTTGAATGCTTCACAGATACCAACTGTGTTATTTTCCTAATATTCTCGTGAGATAAGGCAGCAAAGTTACCTCCATTTTAGGGACAGGGAATTGAGGCACACAAAACACACAGCAAAAGGTATCTACGAATTTCAGAGACACAATCTGAGGCATTTAGGACTTGCTTTTCCAGAATGTTTAGCATTGTACAGCATTTCACGTGATCAAATGCTAACTTCATTTGCAGCTGTGAGTGCTTAGTATTTCTTCAAGAACCCCAAGTCAGGCACTTGGAAAGTGAGAGACACAAAATAAAGAGTACAGAAATAAAAATGCTGGGCTGCAGTGACATGATCACACAGAAGCTCAGTGGTCTAGGCAGAGACACATCATACCTTCCACAATATCCTTCAATCATCTTAATTATGAGACCATCCCCCCTACAATCCTTGCCCTTTCTGCAATCCCAATTTTCAAACGTTACAACAAATTGCTGGTTCTCCAGGAAGCATATTTCGGTGCGTATGCCATATTCAGCCTCAGATCAGACGTATTCTGAACAATAAACAACACTAGGGTCCTCTGAAAACAAGTGAATATTATCCTGCCATTAAGATGTGAATCATAGCACACACACATGCTACCTCTGAATAAAGCCTGAATAAGCATTTCAAAATATCGTTCCTTATATTTTCTGTGCGCAGCTTAAAAATATAAACGGGGCTGCAAATATTAATTCTATTAAATATTTTAGCACCATTAAAAAAAAAAATAATCCTACACTTTAAACCACAAACAAACTGGAAATTCATCGCACAGCATTATACAGGTTAAACAACAGGCCTTTAATTTTGGCAGCAATAGGGACATTGCGGTCACTTGAACTAAGGCCGTAAGTGATAGCATGAATAGGCTGTGATCCTTTTTGAACACCAGCATTACAGAACGATCAGACATTTTCACAGATATTTGCTGACCACAGAGAAACAGTCACATTTAAAGTCCCAGTTTAGGACAAAATGTTTTCTGGTGGACAGACTTCTCTGCTATTTTTGATGCTGTGACCTCCATCCCTTTCAATCTCTCTTTCTCTTATCAGTCTGATAAGAATCAGGCTGATTTTGCTCAACACAGCAATCCCAGTCCTCACTGCCTGGGCCTCCCATCCTCCAACTGGTCTTCATGAGAAAAGCGCCCCTTCACCAGTTATCTCCTCTGCTCCAGCCAGCCCCAGCTTTCTGTTTCCCGCTCCTGCCAGTCCTGGGTTTCTCTTGCACTTTTCCACCCATATTCCATCCCCTGCTCCCGTTCCTAATGCCTAGGTCCAAACTCAGCGCCAGGCCACCCATCCTTGTCTCAGCTCCTTGTCTTCCTCACCCTCTATTTTGTCCTCCTCCTCTTCCCACCTGTTATTCTTGATCTGCCCTTTCTTCTCCTGCTGGGACTCCTTTCTGTCCCCCCCTTCCTGCCCCGGCGTTCCCTGTCCGGAGTGCAGGCACAGGCAGCGGCTCATCTCCTGGTCCGAAAAGCAGGTACATCCCTGGAGAAGGGTCAAGCTGAATACAAGTGTGCCTGGGCCAAACAGGTGGATTTTCACAGGACAACACCACATCCCTGGCATAAATGCTACACATAAAGTTGCATATTTTCACTTGTTCTTTTAAATAATTGAAGATTTGAACTAAAATATTCCGGCATCTGGATAAACACAAAACTTCCTGTAGCCTACAGCAAGCTGGCACAGCAACAATATTTTAAGGCAAAATGGTCATAGTCTGGCAAAAGTAAATATGCAAGTGAAACGAGGATGAGGATCCTATAATGGTCCTCCTTGTGATAACTTCTTAAAGCCTGTCTCAAAGAAAGGTAAAGTTTGTCAGTGTAAAAACTAGGGAATGCTGGAGTAAACTTCCTTTGTGCACAGTTACTTGTGTATCTGCTTTATTACAGCGTTTAATTACATGATCACATGTGATTTTCATGCATGCAGGCTGTCAGAAAGGTTTAACCTTAGGATCTTCAGAATCAGACTCCAAGCTTCATTCACTCGATTAAGAAATAACCGGCTGGGGAAGAAGGCTATTACTTACTGTACCAGGCATAGGGAGGGAAGGGGCACGATGTGAGTGCTGGTGTTTCCCGCCTGCTCTGTTTCGGGCAGGTCCCGAAGGCTTTGCGGTGATAGGAACAATTACACTGAACCCAGCTAAGCACACAGCTTTAGGGCATGCATTACGAAAGGAAAACAGTTCAGACAAAACCTATTACATACTTTGCCTCTGCTCCTCCCTCTGCCTGGAGAAAACTTCTAATTACTTTATTTGTTCTCAATGGGAAAAAAAATAGAAGTGGAAGATAAGAATATGTAACACGACAG